GTAGGGTCATTTGCTTCAGGTCAAGTAGTAGAAGGGGTTGCTGTGTTCTGAAAGCAACTGGTATGGTTTCCTGCTTGGACCCTGAATTTACCAGATTTTAATCAGCAAAACCTAGATACCACTGATTGGCACTTTATAGATGCTTATTTCAATTTTAAGGCCAGAAGGGACTTCTACAGTAACCTTGTCAAATCTCTGCATAACACAGGCCAAAGCAATCCACCTAGTAATTTCTACAGTGAAGAGAATTATTCGTCACTACTATGCAAATGAACATTATCAAACCCAATAACACTTAACTGAATAGAAATACTTGTGATCTCGATTTAACAACGTGAAATGGTAATGGATTTCCTACTTCCCTTGGTAAACTGTTCCAATGATTAACAGACTAAATATGCTGATAGATAAAAATCAGATCCTTGCAACATTTTGGCCTAGTCGTTTTTAAAAATAACTAGGCCAGAACTCTGTGTGTCTATTATATAGCCCAGAGAAAAGCTCTATAGATAAGTACGATTCACATGCTACCTAATGCCTGCATTTCCCATGTGGAAAACTGAGATGAATAGTCAGATACATGTGAATTTTCCACAGTTTTCACAAAAATTCTGAGGGAAAATACCCAAACAAACAAACCCAACTTCCTTTCAAGGACAACAACATCTGTTCCTTTCTAACTTCATGTTCCTAGATTTATGAGCTACTTTCTTTTTTCAACTTTTGCACTTTCATTTTAACTTTCGTTTTGTGTAACTTACTTTACACACTGTCACAGATGAAAACATGTGGAAAAGAAAAACAATGGGTTTGACTCTTGGGATCTCTCCTAAGTTCTCTTAATGAGTATATAAGATAATCAGAATATGAAATTAATATCCTGTCTTGGAGTCTCAAAAATGTATGTTCTTTTCTGATAAGATAAATTCCATTGCAGAAGAACTCTTTAAAGAAAATCTCCTGTCTAGCCATTTTTAATTTTTTTTAAAATGTATGTCTAGTTTAATATTTATGTTGTGTGATGAAGCACATTATCACTAATGATTCATCATAACGTCTATAGCCTATTTTTCCTAGTGTAGAAAAACTGAAGTGTGTTCAATAGGAAATACTGTCCTTCTGAGCCCCTGAAATGTCAGAGTAACAGAAAGAGCAACATCGCACAAACTAACTAAAGATGTACACATATGGTATGAAGTATGCAGATTGCGATCTCAAAGACTAGGGCTATTAAGCGGCAGTCTAACAGCACTGCACACAGCTGCAGTGCTCCAACAGCACTGGGCTAGAACCATAAGCAAGACACCAATATGACCCTATTGGTTTATAAACAATAATAAAATGGAATCAAATGTGAAGGGCACTGACCACATTAGGTTATAAAAAATGGATCAGGCGCACAGGAACATGTTGACTTAAAGCAATGATTTAATTGTCTAAAAATTAAATGGAGCCCAGCTTCTTTACACAAGTTAATAACGAGAACATGTGCTCCATTATTTCCCACTCCTGATTATTACATATAGATCCAAAAAAGTATGAAATTTCATATCTCAGCCTCTGGCTAATTTAGAAATTGGAAATTTAGAACGGATGCACAATGATAATTTCCAGTAGTTGTACAAGTACAGCTACACTACACACTACCTCCCAGCTGTGTGAGCTGGAAGGGACATAATAAGGTTCCCCAAGGCAAAGAGTAGCAGTGGGCAGAAGCCATGGAACCAGTGGATTTTCCATGCATGGTGCATAGTTTAACTGTCATGGATTGTGACTGCAAGTATTTAAACTTAATCTGCCACACAGCAGGATCTAATATAAACATATCATCAATTGATCATGAATTTTTAATATGAACTACACTAGTAGCTCGATGAATGAAAGCTGTGGTCTTAATAATCTTGAATTATAAAGCACTTCCTCATCTCCAAATGGCTAATTGTCCATATAACACATGTGGACTAGGCATTATCATTCCCATTTTATAAATGAGGAAACGGAAGCACAAAAAAATTTAAAGGACTTGCCCAAAGTCATACACCTAATCAGTGGCAGAGCTGGAACTAAAATTTAAGAGCTGTCCCTTTGCTTAATAATTTTGAGAGTACTCTGACAGTAAGCCAGATCACTGTGGTAGGAGATGGCAGAGTCCTTTTAGATTATCGAGGTCCAGTTCCCTTGAGGAGTAGGTTATAGTCCAGTGGCAGGCAATCTGCGGCCCATCAGGGTAATCTGATTGCGGGCCACGAGACATTTTGCTGACGTTGACCGTCCGCAGGGACCACCCCCACAGCTCCCAGTGGCCGCGGTTCACCATTCCTGGTCAACAGCAGCTGCGGGAAGCGGCGGCCAGCAAGTCCCTGCAGCCCACCATTTCCTGCAGCTCCCATTGGCAGGGAACGGCGAACCGCAACCACTGGGAGGTGCAGGGGGCTGTGCCTGCGGATGGTCAATGCCAGCAAAATGTTTCGTGGCCCGCAATCAGATTACCCTGATGGGCCGCATGTGGCCTGCGGGCCGCAGGTTGCCCACCACTGTCTCTCATTAAGGATGTGAGTCCTATTGTTATTGATTGGAATGTTTTATTCAGGATATAAGAAAAAGAATCTTTTTTTTGATCCTGTTACCATTTAATCCTGAAATGCAGTGGTGCATTGTGGGTAGTAATGAGATCCTTTTGGTCTAAAATACAGAAATATCATCTTTTTTATTCAATAAATGAGGACCACAGCCTGCAAATAAAAACAGCCACTGATCTCCAATGTATGTATCACTGCAGTCAAACAGAATTATCTGTAACCATCCATACTTGCAGGGGAAAATTAACACAAATTGCCAATTGCCAAATGAAGATTTAAAATACAAAAGGAAATAAAATTTGCCAAATATTGTGCACCAACTCTGATTTCAGTGTATTAAGAACATAAGAACGGCCATACTGGGTCAGACCAAAGGTCCATCCAGCCCAGTATCCTGTCTACTGACAGTGGCCAATGCCAGGTGCCCCAGAGGGAGTGAACCTAACTGGTAATGATCTAGTGATCTCTCTCCTGCCATTCATCTCCACCCTCTGACAAACAGAGGCTAGGGACACCATTCCTTACCCATCGTGGTTAATAGCCATTAATGGACTTAACCTCCATGAATTTATCCAGTTCTCTTTTAAACCCTGTTATAGTCCTAGCCTTCACAACCTCCTCAAGCAAGGAGTTCCACAGGTTCTCTGAGCGCTGAGTGAAGAACTTCCTCTAATTTGTTTTAACCCTGCTACCCATTAATTTCATTTGGTGGCCCCTAGTTCTTATGTTATGGGAACAAGTAAGTAACTTTTCCTTATTCACTTTCTCCACACCACTCATGGTTTTATATACCTCTATCATAACATATTGTTATTAGTTTTTATTACAGTCATGCGTAAAGGACCCAATCAGGCTTGGGACCCCATTGTGCTTGATGCTGTGCAATCTCAGGGTAAAGAAACAGTCCTTGCTTCACAGAGTTTGCCTCTGAAACAAGATGTCAGAACAATAGGCAGGAAAAGGGATTGGAGTACAAGGGAAGCAATAATAAGAACACGCATTTGCATAAGTCAACGCCTCACAGTCCGGGGGAGGGGTGGGGGGTCAAATGGGTTTTTGTTAATTTTTAATTAAGATATAAACTAGGGCTAATTGATGGGAAAAAAGTTTTTGATTAAACAAAAATCCAAAAACTAATTTCTGGTTTTCAGTTTTGCAGCAAAAAGTCAACATTTTCCCAAAACAATTTTTTGTTTTTGTCAAAAAGTTGTCTTCAGGAAAAAAATCTTTTTCCAACCAGCTCTCATTTGAACAACAAACAAGATAAATATCAGACAGCCCCTACTGCCCCCCTACTTAAAGTTAATCTTTTAATAGCAATGAATTTTCTAAAACCTTCCAACTACCATTTTTGTTAACAGTAGGTTGATCGTTCCTGTTTCTCTGCTATACTCTGCTCCTTGTGCTGACAGATATGTCCCACCACTTCGAAGATTAGGATTCTAGTGAATTTCACTATACAGCTGTCAGCACACAACCAGAGGAGGACAAAAACTGGCAGGGTAGAAGAGTGGAGAGAAAAGGGTGACAGCTCCAGAAGTGAGATTTGGAGTGATGGAAAAGAAAAGGAGATAACTGGGATGAGAGAGAGAGAAAAGAAGATTATTTGTGACAGAGAGAAGATAATACAGATTCAAGTACAGACAATACTGAAAGTCTCAAGGAAAATGTTTTTTTGTACAAATCTCAGAGGCTTTTCCCCCCTCTTTTATCTCTCCAGATTTCTGTCCTTTTGGGATAACCAAATGTACATATTAATTGGGCTTTACTTTGAAAATATTGCTTTGCTTTCAGATGAATACATAGTTATGCCAGGTGGCAATGTTACATGCCGGTTTTCAAGTTCTTTTTCTTAGATTATGAGCAGCTTTTGACTCTTGGGAAGACTTGCTGTGTTAGTTTTGATTTAAAAGTAAGGTTTTGTAAAGAGAAAAGGAGTACTTGTGGCACCTTAGAGACTAGTCTCTAAGGTGCCACAAGTACTCCTTTTCTTTTTGCGAATACAGACTAACACGGCTGTTACTCTGAAACCTGTCGTTTTGTAAAGAAGCACTTTTGGGAGAGAAGGAACTGTGCCAGCAATGGAGGAGCCCGTTTTCTGCCTTAGGCTCTCATTAGAGACAATTATGGAGGCAGAGAGGAGTGATTCATGCTGGGCTAAGACTCCTGAAAGATGGGATTGCCTAAAGTTTACACTTAGTACACAGTAAGATAGCAACAATGTTTTCTCCTCCACTGGCATGGTAAGGTCTCAAATACCAGCTATCACTCACCAACGGGTGACTTCGTGTAAGAATGAGGGTCAACAAGATATTTAACCAGATTCTTACGTTTTTCAACCCAACGGGAACCTTCAGTGAGATGACAGGAGAGAGCAGTGAAACAAAAAGCCACTCTACTGCCCCATGATGCATTTCTTACCTTCCCCTCAAATCTGGCCGTGCCTCCCAGCAGCACCCGGATATTCCTAGGAGGAAGCGTGAATGCTGGTGCTTCTGTTGGGACAGAGGGGCTGAGAGGTGAGTGCTCCAGCGTCACAGAGGTTTTGGAAATACGAGTTGATGACACCAGTTTCACATCTCCCATGGTTAGAGCTTTCAAAGAGAAAGAGAAACAAGAAGTAAAATATTGACTTGTTACTATTATTTATATAACAGTAGCAACTAGGGGCTGCTAAGATCAGGGCTTGGTTGTGCCATATGTACACATAGTACATACAAGACAATCCCTGCCCAAAGAGCCTTCAGTCTAAAGTGATATGTATTATTCCCATCTTTCAGATGGCGAACTGAGGCCCTAAGAGTTTAAGTGACTTGCCTAAGATCACACAGTAAATCAGTGAGAGTCTTGAACTTCATGCAAACCTCCCAAGTCCCAGTCCAGTGCCTTAACCACAAGCACAGCCTTCTCAGCGGTGCTATAATTGTAATAGTGCACTTAAAGTTGTTTTTAACAATATGACTCTTTGGTTTTCCTGGCATAGAATACACTGACAATCAATAGGCTGTAAAAGCAGAGTCAATGTTGAACAAATACATGTGACATAAAGAGAGTTCTATTTCCAATGGATTTAAGTTATAAATGTGAATACTGAAAGTCTGACTTTTCATACCATGCTTGCAAGAGCTTAAGAAATATCTGCAAATCTCCTTCCAAAGAAACACACTGCAGATACACAGGGGATACTTATTTTGCAAGCATTCCAAACCCTAAATTTCCAAAAAGAAAAGTAAAGTAAAGTAAAGTAAAGGCTTTCTACATGCACGAGAAAAAGCAAGGAGATCAAAGCTAGAGAGGCAACTACACCAGACTGCAACTGAAATGGCATTTTTAGAAGTCCCATCATGGATAGCTGTCGCATCATGGATAGCTGTCCCATCAGAGACAGCTCACTGTGGAATGTCTATGTACATCACACTGCCAATGTGAGAAGAGATCAGAAATATTCCTTACTCAAATGGAACAATTATCATTATTTGTATTACAGCAGGACCTAGACGTTCCAACAAATATCTGGGCCCCATTATGCTGAACACTGTACACACCCACAGGAAAACACAGTTCCTGCCCCAAAACACTTATGATATAAATAGATGAGATGGACAAATAACAGGAGGGAAGAAATGACTAAGGTCACACTGCAGATCAGTGGCAGAGTCATGAATAGAACTCAGGTCTCGTAAGTCCCAGTTCAGTGCCCCATCTATTAACCCATGCTACCTCAGTTTCTGATATCACTTGTAACAGATATAAATACATAACTAGGCAGTAAAAGTTTAACTTAAATAGGCAGGAATTGTGCAAATTTAGCGCTGCATTGTTCCTGGCCCTTCCACAGATGCAGAGGGCATGCCATCTCAAAAGGTGCTAGGGGAAAAAAAAAAACCAGCAACCCAGGGGTTGCCCACAACCCTAGAGGAAGTGGGGAAGCGCCAAAGTTACAGCTCCATTTCTCCAATGTCAGGCATGCTATGGGGAGCAGTCTGCACCCTCTCAGGTTGCATGCTTCCCCAACACATTCAGGAGCCTTCCAAAGCTCCCCCCGGGAAGGTGCAGCACAAGTGCCATGTTCAGTGGCATGTTTAAATGGCCAAGTGTTATAGGGGCAGCAGTGTAAAATCTGGTCTGTTTAAAACAAAAGTGTCATTGCAAGTTCTGCATCTACCTCTGCCAATTTTTGTGGTTTTAGAATCACGTTTTCCTCTTTTATTTAACTTTTTCAGTGCCATGCTGCTCTCTGACAGATCCATAATACAAGGAAAACTGACTACACTATATAGGGGAGACAGTGACACGGACGCCATACAAAATGCTGTTCAATGCACTAACTAAGACAGCTGGGAAAAAAAAGAAAATATATTTCTCTCTATAGACTCTTTCAGTCTTTCAGTCCACCTTAAGAGTTACTCACAACGATAATAGGTAAAAATCATCCAGACAAAAGAGAGATTTGGATGATGCCTGTCTCCACTTAATATGGTTTTCCTTTTCAGTGCTATACTGTACTATGAACAGTTTTGCAATAGCATGCTTTAAGATGGGGGCGGGAAAGAGGAAGAATCTAGAGTATCATTTGCTAAGACTATTTGCAACCCAGTGTACACTCTTTAGGGAAAATGTGTTGACACCCATTACCATTAGCAAGAACAGAATTTAAACCTGGCTCTAATACAAATACAGATGGTGGTCTCTAGCCATAGTTGTTTTCTCCCTACTTCCCAAACATATCCATAAAGCTCCTACTCCTTGTCCACCCGCATCCCCAGATAATCCTAGACAGCTTCCTAGCATTGCAAAGCAAGGTGGGATTGACATTCATTGGGTCATGCCCTGAAACTAGTGGTGTGTGGGTGCGGGGGGTGGGGCAGTTATTACATGGTGAGGGTTGCGAGCTGTCAGCCTCCTCCCCAAACCCCGCTTTGCCTCCCACATTTATAATGGTGTTAAACAAATAAAAAAAGTGTTTTTAATTTATAAGGGTGGGGGTTGCACTCAGAGGCTTACTATGTGGAAGGGGTCACCAGTACACAAGTTTGAGAACTACTGGTGTAGGGGGCGGGGGATGATGCGAGGGACAATCAGGATTCCAAAACCTTACAACTATTTGCTGGAAAAAGCTTCTAGAAATTTTTGTTAAGTAAATGTATGCTGCAAATGCAAAATCCTAAAACAAGCCTGACAGGTTTGCTCACTATAATGATTAATGGGGAAGCTAGGTCATTGACCAGTACCTATGTGTTGGTCAATCAACTGTCCCAGGAATTTACAAGAAACAACGTGGAGAAAATTATCTCTGCAACCTCAATTTTTAAAGATGAAATTATCAATACAAAGTGAATCATTAATTTCATGCCCTATTATAGTTAAGAGTTGACATTACATGACTATTGATTAGACAGAGCAAGGAATAAACAAGCACTGGCATTATTTTTAACAAAACCAAACCAAAACAAAAAGAATAGGAACTCCCCCCACTCCCCACCCATGTTGACAAAAAAAAAAAAAAATTAACTGGCCCTTGAATTAGATTCTCCCAGAACTCAAGGGGACTATTTGTTTGGGACCTATGCTAAGAATGAAGCAATCCCTCAAAATCCCCAACCTCCTTCTAAATAAAGGAATTAAGAATGGCACTTTTAAAAGCACTTAAGTGATTTGGAACACAACTTTCACTGTCTTTCAATGGGTTTTATGCTCCTAAATCATTTAACTTTTTCTGAAAATCCCATCCTAGAGAACTCTATTTATAGAGCACAGTTGGCATGCAAGGTGCTCTACAGAAGGACAAGGTCCCTGCCCTAGAGAGCTAATCACCTAAATTTGTCAAAAGCAGACTAAGAGATGTGTATGATTGATTCCTGCATTGTTAATTCCAGAGTTTTTATACACAGACAGAGATGGGGGAGGCATGCATGAGCACTGCCCCAAACTGTATTCCAGGCCTGGTGTGGGCAGCAGGATGCTCATGCTGGCCACAGAGCGCCCTTTCTACACTGGGGCTGCAGCCGCCATGGTCACTTTGTCTGGGAGGGGACGGGGACACAGTCTGCAGAGAAAAGGGGATGGAAGAAGGCAGCCGAGGGAGCATTTATCGCAGTGCTCCAGAGCCTGCCAGAGTCACACACACACACACACACACACACACACACACACACACACACACACACACACACACACACAGAGAGCAGTGATGCGTGCTGGATCTGCCAGCCACAGCCCAGTCCCCTCAGTGCATGGTGGGAGGGGAGGGCAGCTGGGACTCCAGGGGCTCCCTCCCCCAGCTGGGTGCTCCTGCTCTCCCCCATCTCCAAGTACCACTTGGAGCACAGCCAGGCAAATTCCTTGACTGCATCCCAGTCCATAGCATCAGCAACAAGCCTATTTTTGCCTCATGGGAAAGGCCCACTAGGTATGCACAAAGGACAATCTTCTCACTGAGGCAAGATGGGTTAGGTAATATCTTTTATTGGATCACCTTCTGTTGGTGAAAGACAAGCTTTTAAGCTACACAGAGCTTGTCTTCTTCATGTCTGGGGAAAGTACTTTTCCCAGACCTAAAGAAGAGCTCTGTGTAAACTCACAAGCTTGTCTCAAAACTGTTGAACTATCCTGTTTTGACATTTTCCAAATGAAAAGCTTTTTTTTGGTTCAAAATGATTTTTGTCTCTAAATGAAAGTTTTAGTAAAAAAATGTAAGAAAAAAAGATGAAAAAAGGTTGAAATCTAAACAAAGATTTTTGAAAAGATCAAAATGAAGCATTTCGTTTGAACCAATAGGAATTTTTTTTTCAGATTTTTGGTTTACTTTTTTGGGGGGTGAGGAGGGGGAAAGAGGACTGATTTGGGATAGGAAAATTGTTTCCCACCCCGCTCTAAGGCTCAGTACTGTTGAAAATCCTACCCTTATTATTATATATAATATCTTATCAAAACAAACATTCATTTAAATATTCAATAATAGCCTAAACATTTGGGAGCCTTCACAAGCCCACAACACACTTGGGCCATTAGGTATCTGGCCCAGCTCCTCACACTGTTTCTATAGAACTGGAAATTACTGTTTGTCAGAATATCAAGCGAATGTGTAGAGACCTGTCTATTTCTATGTTAAGACAATGCTTCTATATCTCTAAAACTAGGAGTCTTGACTCATAGTTACAAGACAGTGCTCAGTTCTGTTTAGTGGTATCTGGTAAACATGTCAAATAATTAAATTAAAACAAAAAACAAAGGGTGATTAAATAAGAAACATAAACCGTATTTGTGATTTCAAGTACATTGTAATTTAAGTACCACTAATAATCGGTAAATTCAAAAGTCAGAGCTATACTTATTAAGACCTCTACTCCCTCAAATACAGAAGTTAAACTCTGCCTAGGTTTGTATAGTCTATGCCCTGGTCTACACTAGGACTTTAGGTCGAATTTAGCAGCGTTAAATCGATGTAAACCTGCACCCGCCCACACAATGAAGCCCTTTATTTCGACTTAAAGGGCTCTTAAAATCGATTTCCTTACTCCACCCCTGACAAGTGGATTAGCGCTTAAATCGACGTTGCCGGCTCGAATTTGGGGTACTGTGGACACAATTCGAA